TACCTGGCTGCATAATCAGGGTTTCCACGGCTGACCTGACTCCGTCAGGGGCAGCCGACCTCGAAACTGATATGAAATGTTCAACCATGTGTTGATGTTGTTGTTGTTTTTATTATTAATCTACATTTTTATTAGATTTTTGGAGCTCGGCGTTGCCTCCGTCTGACTTTGTTTGCTGTTTTGTTTTGAGTGAGTGACGTTCTCTTCGCCGGTTTTAATCAATTCTTTTAATCCAAGGTTCTGGAAACTGCTCACAGTTGCTACATTAACATTCTTTTTTTTTTGTTTATGACGCATCAAAAACAAAGATCCCGTGATTAAATTCCGCCGTTGGTTGGCTGACATGAATGTATCGTAGCTCTGGATGTTATTAATCAGTGAAGCAGAAACAGAGCGTTACAGGTCGTTATGTCTCTCACTGTGTCTTGTTCAACTTACTGTGTGCATAAATACTCATCCGTTTCATTTTTTTTATTAGCTTAAAAACCCATCTCATCAGTGTCCCCTGAAGTGTGATTTTTTTTTTTTTTTTTTTTTTTTTTTTTTTTTTTTTTTAATGGGATCAAACCTCATCAGAGCCGTTGCTGTGAATCAGCATCATTTGTTTGACAGAGTGCAGGTGTGTTTGTGTTGATTTATTCATGATTTCAGTGTTTTTGTCTATAGGACAGGCTGGTAATGGACCACAGGCCAATTCTCACCAAGTGCAACCGCTCCACTAGATCAGGGGTGTCAAACATACGGCCCGTGGGGCCAAATTCGGCACGCTTGGGTGGTCAATCCGGCCCACCTATAAAAAAAATTTTGAAAAATGTGTATCATGTTAAGGATATTTTTTTTGTAAAATTATATTTCGTTTAATATGAATAAATAATAATAATTCATATATTTTATACTCGAACATCTTTGCGTGAAAACAACATCATCAATGACATCCAAATTAGGTTGTATGCGGCCCGTGAACCAAAATGTGTTTGACTTCACTGGACTAGATGCTGAATGACCTGTTCAAACACAGTGACAGAGGCCACTTGTTTTGTCCTTTTTACACTGCTTTATGCTACAGTAGCTTCTCTGTTGTTTTAGGCAATTCTTAGAGAAAAAAAAAAGCTTTTTCAGTTCATTTATCAAAAGTACAGAGATGCAGTTCTGGTGAAAGTATTCTGTTCCAAACTATTTTTATGTGCAACAAATCGCGGCTTCTCTAGTCACGATATGACAGTGTGGGAATGTTAAATGGAGCCGAGAGGGAATGAATTTCAATATGATTCCTTTTTCCTGACTTTCTAAGGATCGTCTCATTGACATTCAAGATGCAGTGCCACGAATGTTCTGGTTTTAGAGCTGGCATAAAAGTCAGCCAGATTTATGTTGGCATTCTTTTGACTGATCTGTTCGGCTCCCCTTAGGCGTCCACAGAAGTGCCTGAAGCAAAAGCTAGTCACTCACTGCTCCTCGCCGCAGTGAGCAGTGTCACAACACTGACAAAACACTGACAAAAAGTGAAAAGTTTCCCCCGATTCCTTTGTGTTCCCATTTCCTACTTCTCCTCAATCTCGTGTCCACAATCTCTTTCTGTCTCTGCATTTGCGTTTCCTCGATGCTGAGCAAAGAAGAACTTTGTCCTGATCTGTGAAAGTGTCTCCGTCCACTGTACACAGGACAGCAAACTCTGTCCACCGACTGACGTACAGTTCAGTGCAGTTCAGTTCTCCTCAGCTCACGTTTGCGTCCACCGACCGACGTACAGTTCAGTTCAGTTCTCCTCAGCTCACGTTTGATTGGTTGAAGGTAGATGAGGGAGGCGGGCAGGCTGATGTCAGCAGAGAAGTGATGGAAACGCCAGCAGGATTTCACTGAGGTGAAACTAACTGTAACAGCAGGGGAACAAACATGGAGCCTCGTCAATTTGCTTAATTAATTCAATAATGGGCAATTAAAAACATCTCCCATTGTTCCAGTGATGTGTGTGTGTGTGTGTATCAATTAGCCAGTTTTCAGGAACAGCAGTTTCATGTTATTTCATGTTTGAATGTATCTATATTTGAATCCATTGTTATCATTTTTTTTACCCGTGTTTGTTTGGCACGATCAGCCGGAAGTCGAATTTGTTCTGCAGTCGGTGAGGGACCGTATTTGAGTGTAATTTGACTTGCCTTTGTCAACATAATGTCACATTATTTATAATGGACAGATTTGCTGAATCAAACAAAGGACAAATTGCGTCATCTTTAGTCGCTCTGTGATACTACTTTTGGAATTGTGGGCTATATTTTCCTAGAGATTTTCCTGAACCTGCGGTGGTTTGCAGTCAAGGAGAATGAGGCGGAACCATGTCTGAGTCTGTGTGTGGGAGGACATACTGGAGGGGAGACTCTCTTACCACTCCATGCTAGTCTTTGGAAAAAAATTCTGAAAAATTCTCCCAAAAAAGAGTTGGTAAAAAAAGGGACTGTCAGAGAGAATCATCGATGATTCCATTCCAGGACAGTTGACTGTCGTTGTTTTGAATATTTACCGTTGTACTGCTTTAAGATGAACAACATCTCATCCTTGTTTTCTTTCTCCTCCAGGTGGCCAACCTGCTGCGACTCTTCCAGATCCCTCAGATCAGCTACGCCTCTACCAGCGCTAAGCTCAGCGATAAGACTCGTTACGACTACTTCGCCCGCACCGTGCCCCCCGACTTCTATCAGGCAAAAGCTATGGCCGAGATCCTGCGCTACTTCAACTGGACGTACGTGTCCACGGTGGCGTCGGAGGGCGACTACGGCGAGACCGGGATCGACGCGTTCCAGCAGGAGGCCCGGGCCAGACAGATCTGCATCGCCACCTCGGCCAAAGTCAGCCGCTCCATGAGTCGCTGGAGTTACGAGAACGTGATCCGCTCCCTGCAGCAGAAATCCAACGCCAAGGTGGTCATCCTGTTCACGCGCAGCGAGGACGCCCGCGAGCTGCTGGTGGCGGCCAACCGCATGAATGTCACCTTCACCTGGGTGGCCAGCGACGGCTGGGGGGCGCAAGAGAGCGTGGTGAGGGGCAGTGAAGCTGTGGCGGATGGGGCGTTCACCATTGAACTGGCTTCTTATCCGATCCCTCAGTTCAACGACTACTTCACCGGCCTCCACCCGTACAACAACACCAGGAACCCCTGGTTCAGGGAGTACTGGGAGAACCAGTTCCAGTGCAGCCTGCACGATCTGGGCTGTGGGAAACATTCTCTGCGGGAAACCCCGTTTCAACCAGAGTCCAAGATCATGTTTGTGGTCAATGCGGTTTACGCCATGGCCGCCGCCTTACACAACATGAGGCAGGCTTTATGTCCCAACTCCACCAAAGTGTGTGACGCTCTCAAACCCGGCAACGGAAGAAAGTTCTACAGGGATTACATTCTCAAAGTCAAGTTTGATGGTGAGTATGAAATACTAAAATACTAAAATACTACTACATACTACGTACTGTAAAGTATGGTAATAGCTCCATACTACGTACTCTAAAGTATGGTAATAGGTTGATGGATTTACATATTGATGACATATTTTGTTTCTGTTAAATTCAGCATCAATGTTTATATTTGCATCAATATAAACATTAGCTCCTGTTAGCAGAAGCTTCAACCTTAAGTTCTACTGAGGTTTTTTAGCCATTTGATTAAAGACGTCAAGGAAAATAAATATTGTTTTGTATAAATCTAGTCACTTTGCTTGTTTATGTCTCCACATTATCTTTTATGTTCTTTAACAAAGCAGCAAAAAAACCAAAAACTTGTACACACCAGATGACAAACACCTGTGTGTTTTAACACTCTCTATTTCTTTTCACCTCCAGCACCTTTTCGTCCACCCGACACAGAAAACGTAGTTCGCTTCGACGCCTTCGGGGACAGCCTCGGCCGCTACAACATTTTCCACTATCACAAAGAGGACGGACGCTACACCTACCGTAAAGTCGGCTACTGGTCTCAAGACCTGACCTTGAACACCAGTCTGATCCCCTGGGATGGTCAGGTGGCTCCCACCTCCCAGTGCAGTGACCCCTGCAGGAAGAACGAGGTGAAGAGCATGCAGCCCGGAGATGTCTGCTGCTGGATCTGCATCCCCTGCCAGCCGTACCAGTACCTGCAGGACGCCTTCACCTGCGCAGACTGCAGCTTCGGACAGTGGCCGCTGGCCAACCTGACCGGTTGTTACGACCTGCCCGAGGAGTACATCCGCTGGGAAGACGCCTGGGCTATAGGACCCGTCACCATTTCCTGTTTAGGGATGATGTGTACGCTCTTTGTCATCGGCCTCTTCCTCAAACACAACGAAACACCGGTGGTGAAGGCCAGCGGTCGGGAGCTCTCCTACATTCTCCTGCTGGGCGTGTTGATGTGTTACAGCATGACCTTCATCTACATTGCCAAACCCTCCACGGCCGTGTGTACACTGCGCCGGCTGGGCCTGGGAACTTCCTTCGCGGTGTGCTACTCCGCCCTCCTCACCAAGACCAATCGCATCGCGAGGATCTTCAGCGGGGTGAAGGACGGAGCCCAGAGACCTCGGTTCATCAGTCCGGCCTCCCAGGTTGCCATCTGCGGCGCTCTGATCTCCTGCCAGCTCATAGTGGTGGTGGTCTGGCTGGTGGTGGAGGCCCCGGGGGTCAGAAAGGAAGTGAGCCCAGAGAGAAGGGACGTGGTCACCCTCAAGTGCAACAGCAAGGACTCAAGTATGCTCATGTCGCTCACCTACAACTGCATCCTGATCATCCTGTGCACAGTCTACGCTTTCAAGACCCGCAAATGTCCCGAGAACTTTAACGAGGCCAAGTTCATCGGGTTCACCATGTACACCACCTGCATCATCTGGTTGGCTTTCCAGCCCATTTTCTACGTGACTGCCAGCGACTACAGGGTGAGTAGAGTTGGATTCATTTATTATACAGCGCCCTCTGGAGGGCCGTCGTCGTTTGTCTTTTATTTATTAGAGCACTTCACGTCGGATAGATTTCTGATGCAGCCTCACCTTGGATCGGCATCTGGGTGGGATTGAATTGTAAATCCAACCGTTCACCTTACCTAACTAGAACATAGACCGATGTGGTAAAACTCCCACACACTTCCAGAGACATAAAGGTCGTCCTAGGTCGTTCCAGACTCTCTCTCTCCTGTGAGATTGAAGCACGGGGGGAATAGAAAAGCTCTAGAAGTCTACGGACACATCTGCCTCTGCCTCTGCAGAGACACACAGACGTCACGTAAGACAGCGAGTGTTGGAGAGGAACCGGACATCTGAGTGTGTCCCTGTGTCCATCTGTGTGGAATGGACTGTGAAAGACTCCCAGGCCGAGTCCCAGATGTGTCCTCTATCCTGGGACCTCGACGGGACTCACAGGGACTCTGTCCCCCGCTCCCTCCAGAACACTCTCCTCGCTGCGACGCTTAACTCCTCTTTGACTGATAAATAATTACTGAGCTAATGTGTCGGCACGGTGTTTTCAGAGCCAGGGCCGTGTCGCTGATGTTCTTCAGGATTTATCTTCGTTGTTAGAGGAGCCGCAGCCAGGGAGGTTGAGCTAAAATGTCGACTAGTTAAAGAAAGATTAGATTAAATGAATCAATAAATAACACGTTTGATTAGCGTATGAAAAATTCAGGCCGTGGACCACGCCTCGAGAGGGGGGGGTGGGGGGGGGGGGGGGGTGTACCACGTGGGGTCAGGCAGCTACACCTACCGTAAAGTCGGCTACTGGTCTCAAGACCTGACCTTGAACACCAGTCTGATCCCCTGGGATGGTCAGGTGGCTCCCACCTCCCAGTGCAGTGACCCCTGCAGGAAGAACGAGGTGAAGAGCATGCAGCCCGGAGATGTCTGCTGCTGGATCTGCATCCCCTGCCAGCCGTACCAGTACCTGCAGGACGCCTTCACCTGCGCAGACTGCAGCTTCGGACAGTGGCCGCTGGCCAACCTGACCGGTTGTTACGACCTGCCCGAGGAGTACATCCGCTGGGAAGACGCCTGGGCTATAGGACCCGTCACCATTTCCTGTTTAGGGATGATGTGTACGCTCTTTGTCATCGGCCTCTTCCTCAAACACAACGAAACACCGGTGGTGAAGGCCAGCGGTCGGGAGCTCTCCTACATTCTCCTGCTGGGCGTGTTGATGTGTTACAGCATGACCTTCATCTACATTGCCAAACCCTCCACGGCCGTGTGTACACTGCGCCGGCTGGGCCTGGGAACTTCCTTCGCGGTGTGCTACTCCGCCCTCCTCACCAAGACCAATCGCATCGCGAGGATCTTCAGCGGGGTGAAGGACGGAGCCCAGAGACCTCGGTTCATCAGTCCGGCCTCCCAGGTTGCCATCTGCGGCGCTCTGATCTCCTGCCAGCTCATAGTGGTGGTGGTCTGGCTGGTGGTGGAGGCCCCGGGGGTCAGAAAGGAAGTGAGCCCAGAGAGAAGGGACGTGGTCACCCTCAAGTGCAACAGCAAGGACTCAAGTATGCTCATGTCGCTCACCTACAACTGCATCCTGATCATCCTGTGCACAGTCTACGCTTTCAAGACCCGCAAATGTCCCGAGAACTTTAACGAGGCCAAGTTCATCGGGTTCACCATGTACACCACCTGCATCATCTGGTTGGCTTTCCAGCCCATTTTCTACGTGACTGCCAGCGACTACAGGGTGAGTAGAGTTGGATTCATTTATTATACAGCGCCCTCTGGAGGGCCGTCGTCGTTTGTCTTTTATTTATTAGAGCACTTCACGTCGGATAGATTTCTGATGCAACCTCACCTTGGATCGGCATCTGGGTGGGATTGAATTGTAAATCCAACCGTTCACCTTACCTAACTAGAACATAGACCGATGTGGTAAAACTCCCACACACTTCCAGAGACATAAAGGTTGTCCTAGGTCGTTCCAGACACACTCTCCTGTGAGATTGAAGCACGGGGGGAATAGAAAAGCTCTAGAAGTCTACGGACACATCTGCCTCTGCCTCTGCAGAGACACACAGACGTCACGTAAGACAGCGAGTGTTGGAGAGGAACCGGACATCTGAGTGTGTCCCTGTGTCTATCTGTGTGGAATGGACTGTGAAAGACTCCCAGGCCGAGTCCCAGATGTGTCCTCTATCCTGGGACCTCGACGGGACTCACAGGGACTCTGTCCCCCGGTCCCTCCAGAACACTCTCCTCGCTGCGACGCTTAACTCCTCTTTGACTGATAAATAATTACTGAGCTAATGTGTCGGCACGGTGTTTTCAGAGCCAGGGCCGTGTCGCTGATGTTCTTCAGGATTTATCTTCGTTGTTAGAGGAGCCGCAGCCAGGGAGGTTGAGCTAAAATGTCGACTAGTTAAAGAAAGATTAGATTAAATGAATCAATAAATAACACGTTTGATTAGCGTATGAAAAATTCAGGCCGTGGACCACGCCTCGAGAGGGGGGGGTGGTTTTCACATTTCAGCAGCGAACGCAACTGATCCAACAGTCGCTGCAGAAGCTGAAGCTAAAAACAATCAAATGAACCTACAAACAAAGACAGTTTGGAAAAAAAAAGACTGAAAATATCAACCAGTAATTACTGACCTTTGTCTGTCGAGGCTCTCGACTGAAATGGATCGTCTCGTGTCGGTCAGTGAGTCCATTTGAATTCACGTTGAATACAATTCTTGCTTGCTGAGAAAAAATGGTACGTTTACTAAAAATACAATAAAAAAAACAAATTAATAAAACCTTTATTCATGATCACAAAAAAAGGACAAGAATTGTTTATTAAATGTATTAAATAAAAATAATTAATTAATTAAATGACAAAAATTATAAATTATAAATTATTATTATTGTTATTATTATTTTAAAATAAAATTAGATCATAATAATAACGTTGGATGAAGAGTTAAACCAAAAGTGGGTCCTTTTTAGAGAACACTGTAACAGAGGTGGTAATACCGCAGTAATGAACACAACCCAGAGCAGTAATACTGCGTTCTACTACTACCCTAAAAATAATATTAGTCAGTACTGCGTTCATTTCACTTCCATAAATCTCTTTACAATAGCTTCTCATTTAGCTGTCTCATTAAGTGTACATTATTGCGGGACATTAAAAGAAATCCACTTAAAAATCCTAGTTTATTGACTTGTCTCCGTCGCTGAATCACTGCTGAGATTTTTCCAATCCCCACAGTCCAGCATCAGTGGCTTCAAGTTTTTTTCTTCCAATAAAATCTTTCAATAAAAGTACAGCACGAAGCCCAATAAAACTTGGAATCTAATCTGTGCTGCGAGCTTCTCGGGAGGAATAAAGTGGCCTGAATGCAGCGGGCGCTGTTTATATCCGAGGCGGTGGTGCTACATTCACGAAACAAAATGATTTTAAAGACCAAACAAAGAGGACGGAGAAGGGAGCGAGAAGAGACAAGAGGAAGAAGTGTAGAAACACGTCTTCACGTCTCGCTCTTCACACATAAACAGAGGGAAAAACTGTTTCAGCAAAGACAGACTCTCATCCTCAGAGCAACGTCTGCTGAATTATTAAATTCACTTAAACAGGTCGTTTCTATGCAGCGGTGCTTTTATTCAAAGTGAAGACACGAAACATTCACCTTGATATTTAGACCATTGTTAGTTGACATTTTACTTTGTTATTGTTTGTAACAAAACAAAATGCAGTAAGCATGTGTGCAGTAAGGAAACGTCAACTGATCCTGATACTGGTGTGTAGTTTTTTAAACAGATACTACTTACTGACCGATTTTTTTGTCCTGTTGGCAAATACCATAGATACATTTGGCTATTTGAAAAAGAATCACCTTCATATGATTTTGATTATGTTGACCTGATGGTTAGTGTTGAGTTCTAGGTCTGTAATCACATTTATTGAAAAACAAAACGCCACTTTTGACAGTTTTTCAAAATCAATTCCTTCCATTTTTAAAAAAAAAAAAATCCTGTAGAAACAATTCAACTGCACTTCAAAAACTTCATGGATACAGTATATCCTCTACACTTTTATCATTCGTTGCCTTTTCCCTGTCTTTTCTATACTTGTTCTTAAGCTAATTCGTAGCCTCCATGCTAGCTGCTGCTAAGGCTCCATTCTCTGTACGTCTTCTTTGTGATGAGTAACTTAACTTATCGGACTTGTTTACACTACAGCTAACGTAGAAACGAAATTACACTTAAAATGATTTTGTTGTCCTTTCAACACAGAAAAAAAAAATATCCACACGAACGAGGAACGACGTGTTGTCAACATTAGCTCCGGTTAGCTGATCTAGCTCTTATGCTAGTAGCTCAGTCGTATGACGTCAGGAGTGTAAAAAAGACTGGCTGTCAGCTCAGTGTAGAAAAATTAAAAGATAATTGTTATGTAATTTTTTGTATACTATATTACAGGGAAACCTAGTGTGAATCGATGTAGCACGCATCAAATATATGTATGTTAGATTAGCATCTAATTTAATCTATTTTTTATTTACTAATTAAGTCCAAATAATGGCAAACATTAATGTTAATCGTCACCAGAAATCCGTTCTGTGCACAGAACAATACTGGTTGCTCGCATTATTTATACAGCGACATTAGCATTCAGGCTGATGACACCTGCTGTGCCTTGTGAAAATGAAATGCACCTGGCACACAGCAGCCGATCCTGTGCTGCATCCTGTTCCTGGAGAAGACAAAGCAAAGGCTGCGGCATCGCTGGAAATAATAGAGCGGGGCTGACGACACACAGCGAGATGTGGGCAGAGTGAGGGGATGGAAGTGGAGGGTTAAGCATCTGATTGACAGGCAAATACACAGATCTCTTAACACCTCTCCTCAGCTGCCGTCGTCCTTCGGCGTTCTCTGCTGCTCCTGGCTCTGGTTCGGAAACTAATAACGATGTCAAAACCTCATCGATAAAAACACATTTTTAAAATGATTCAAACCAAGTGATCCAACCTGTGAAATCGTGACTATGTTATTTAAAAAAAAAAAGATTTGATTAAATTGAACTTTTTTGATCCATCCTGGGGAAACTGTAAATAAAACCACGTCTTTAATCGTATTGTTGTCGTTGTAAATACTAAGTAAACTTCCCCAAATACTTGCTTTTTTACGGGGGTTCTTTAGTACAAGGGATAAAGTAAGAGTTTTCAGAATTGTAAAATGACTTCATCCTCTTGTCTCCTCCTCCCCAGGTGCAAACTACCACCATGTGTATCTCTGTCAGCCTGAGTGGCTCAGTGGTGCTCGGCTGTCTCTTTGCTCCAAAGGTCCACATCATCATGTTCCAGCCCCAGAAGAATGTCAGCAACCTGAGGGTGGCCACCACCCGCTTCAGTGTTACCACGGGCCCCGGCTCCAGTTTCTCTCAAGGTACAATGTCCTTTATGAAACCTTAGAAAAAAATAAATCAGGCACCTTGGTCCAAATACAACATTAGTTATACAAACAGGAGGACTAGATTAACCTCAGGCAGTTTCTCTGACCAGATTAAATCTATTCTGGAAAACAAACTGACTTGAAACGAATATGTAAATCGTATTTAAAGTGGACGAAACCTACTGTATGTTGCCATGGTGTCTCTTTATTTTGACCTCACCAAGCGCATAATCAGCCGTCCAGCACAGCAATATCAAAAGCCATGCACATTCAGCAGTGGTTTCCACCCTGGCTTTAACGAACGGAAGATTCTCCAGGCTAATCTGTGTATATTTGATGGTTTATCTGTGAGATTTTTGTGTAGCGATTGCTCTGAAAATACAGTGTCACCATCTGATCATCTGTATTGTTACAAATAAATACAAGTTTTGTATTTATTTTTGCAGCATCGGCCTCTAATGTCGTTCCGACGGTGTGTAACGGACGAGAGGTGGTGGACTCCACAACGTCCTCCTTGTGAAGATCTGCTGCGTTTGCATTTTAAACAGAGTATAACCACTAGTCCCGAATCAGGTGTCTCCGATATAAAAGAGGTCACGCAGACGATTGTCCTGAATTAGTTGTCCTCAAAGTGCTGTGAGTGCAATGTTCCAATTACTTCATTTTATTCTTTGACTGGTAGCGGTTTTACATGAGATGCCGATAATGTTGCATATAACCTGTCTTTTTATCAAAGATTCTTCTTGCAACAATGGAGTAAATTAGGGATGTCCGATAACATCGGGCGACCGATATTATCGGCCCGGTATTAGCATAATTATGTCATATCTGTAAGAATCGTTATCGTTTTTTTTCCTCCGATAATGAAAACCCAAGTACACTGGAATCACTTTTTGGGTCCAGAGATGTTTACCTCAGTTTAGTGGCTGCATATATCGGTTGATATCAGAGTCGGAAATTAAGTGTTGTGGACAATATCGGCATATCGGATATCGGCAAAAAGTTAATATCGGACATCCCTAGAGTTAATATATAGTGAATCTGTTAAATGTAATATATACAAGACATTTTTAATGTAGATTTTGGTGAACAAGTTTGTGCTTCTTGTAATTTATGTAAATAAAATGTGTTTTTTATTAACACCACTGACCTATACTCTGAGTATTTCTCAGTATATATATATATATATACATATATATGTGTATATATATATATATATATTTATGCAACACTGACATGCAGAACAGCAGAGAGTAACAAAACAAAAAATAACTTAAAAAAGATGATAAAAATGAAGAAAAAAGAGGAGTCAGAGCTTTTGAAGAGCTTTGTGTTTCTTTCTTCAATTCCTGTGAGTATAAGTGTGACATGTTCAATTAATCAGGCCAGGTTTCACAGAGTAAGTAAATTGTGAATGGATTGAAACAAAGACAGAGCTTTTATTTTAGACGCCTTCACCAGTGGGATGTTCATGGTACTTGAGAATTTACACTTTAGCCAATGCGGAATATATTGATTTAAGTTGTTAAGTTAATGTTGTATTTTTATTGGTGTAAACATTTTTTTGTTTTAAAAATGATTACCCTCTCCTCTCCACCACTAAACCGACAACGACAGAAGAGTCTGAGTGGATGAAAGATTCTTTAGTGGTTTTAAATTTGGATTCAGTCCATGTTGAATCTCTGAGTTGTTGAATATATTTCAGCATCAATCTGCAACATATGCCAAACAGTCTGTGCATGAAAATTATCAACACGAAAATCATCTGCTGCTCTGAGACAGAAATCCACCAAAGTTGTATCAGAAATACACGCAGTGGCCCTGTCCAGATGCTCAGGGAAATACAGAGCCTCACAGCTCTGCGGTTAAACACTGCCACCTTGTGGCACTTTTGCGTCATCCAATAGTACACAAGCAAACAAAGCAGTACATTATATACATATAAATATATATATATAAATAAATTTAAAAATAAAATATCACTCTGTGTAGTATATCTATGTAATATATGAATTTGTGGAAACAGTTGTGGAATAATTTCATTTACAGTAAATAATATACAGTGCGACTTAGTAATTTATTTATTTTTGTATCTACCGTAATTATTAAATCGGCTGCGCACAGCAGCAGTAAGGCAGGTGGCAGTGTAGCTGTTGTTTTTCTCTCCTAGTCTTTTTTTTTTTTTTTACAACTACAACACCTGCCGGAAGAAGAAGATGCAGAAGACGCAGAGGAAGCAGAGGAAGAAGAAGAAGAAGAGGAAGAAGAAGAAGAAGAAGAAGAGGAAGAAGAGGAAGAAGAAGAAGAGGAAGAAGAAGAAGAAGCGAAAAAGTAACAGAAACTTCCTGGAAACCAGAGGTGCTGTAAGTCGGATCTTCTGCTCCCAGGGCTCCTTATATCATCTTCTGCTGTACGGAGTGTCCGTCACTGTTAAAGAACCATAAGGTCGGTCCTTTCTGTGTTTACGATTCTTCCATTTTACACAAATTAATCCTGCGTAATTTCCCCGAAACTCCACCCGAAACTTAACAATCTGTTTTTCTAAATGTCGTTGTGTATCACGTTCGCCAGGGGGAAAGAACACGGAGAATCGGCTCTAGCAAAACATGCTAATGTTGGTGGTTTCAGGAAAACTGTAGTTATTGTTAATGAACGGACTGAGAGTGCGCAGTGGCAGCTGAGGACATGTCTTAGCTTGTCCTGTCCAGCAGACGCTGATGAAACTCGATAGGATTTTCTGACTATTATTTATTTTTATTTATTTTTTCTTCGCCCCCGCACTAGCATGGCACCAAAGAGGCGAGCTGCTTCCGCTGCCAAGGCCGGGGGCAAGAAGGTAAAGGAGGAGCCGGAGGCACCGAAGCCTAAAGATGCCTTCACCTCGGCCAAGGAGGCCCTTCTGGCTGCAGGAGCACAAGTGAAAATCAGGAGGAAGGTGGACGATCACTGCTCACTGTCCAGCAGTGGAGAGGTGAGGAGGACCGCTGTGGTTAATGTGGTTTATAATAATTTAGTAGCTGGGGACCAAACAGGTTAATATTGGTTTCCCCCTTTATTTTATATTATATTATATTATATTATATTATATTATTATAATGTTTTGGGGAATAATGGAGTTTATACTGTAAGTCAAACTTCCAGTTTAATGAACAGGAATTGTATGTTGTTACATTTGTTTTGGACAAGAGTGAACAATAAGCATGAAAACTAAAGCAAAGATCTGGTGCTTTAATGTTTTAAAAACTTTTATTTCAGCCAATAATAATGCATTTTCTTACTATTTGTATTTGCTAATGTGGCTAAAACGTGATCATTTACTATATTTGACTTTTTTTTAGAGACCACAAAATCATGTGACAAGAGATTCTGTCTTATCTTTTCCTGTGTTGAACCCTGTTGAATAAATTACATTTAAAAGTCATGCATCAAGGCTAAAATGTTAAAGCACTTTTATCATTTTCTTTGCCATCTATTGGGGAAACAGGGAGAAGGCAGAAGTATAATGATCATTTAAATAAATTATATAATTTGGAAAAGCTGAACGTTCCACATCTGGGCCCCGGGCCTTAGTTTGCCTATACTATACTCCTGAGGGATTATTAAAGTTATTTCTTTCTTTCTTTCTTTCTATCATCTATCTTTCTTTCTATCATCTATCTAGCTGAATCAGACCAACGTTGGCCATAACAACAATAAGTTTTATGTCATCCAAGTTATTAAAGCAGACGACAACTACTACTCCTGGAACAGATGGGGTAGAGTGGTAAGTGTGGACCCTAACTCAATAGCACCACCTACACACGACTTTTAGTATTTCATTATAAGGAGCTCCATTTTGGTTGATGAGTTTTTTTTTTTTTTAATGTTGGCTTTATTAAAATAAAAAAAATAAATGGTTTGAATATAATTAGTAAAACTCCGTTATCGCTTCACATCAGTCTGTGTTCCTGCGTCGTTTGGTTCATGATGCAGATAATGATCCTCAGTGTCACTTTGGGGAAATCTCTCAACCGTGATTGAGGATTTTTATCTCTGAACATTTTCTCCAGTTTAATAAGCGTCTGAATCTGATTGCTCGTTATTGTCGTGTAATCAGGGCGAATTGGGACAGTCCAAACTCAACTGTTTTGATAAAGTGGAGAAGGCCGTCAAGGACTTTGAGAAGAAGTTCAAGGACAAGACGAAGAACAACTGGAGCGACCGCATGAATTTTGTGTCTCACTCCGGGAAGTACACGCTGATCGAGGTGGACGGGGACGAGGACGCGGAGGTGAAGGTAACGTCCGTGCACCACGTCTGGACTTAACTACCAACACTTGATGGAAACATTATGAATACATGGACTTAACTACGAACACTTGATGGAAACATTATGAATACATCCAACCATACCAACATCTCGCATCTCTTTTTTTTTTTGGTTTTGTTTCCAGGTTGACAGCGTAGATGGAAAAACTGTCAAAGTCACTAAAAACGTCCTGCCCTGCACACTGGACGAGGCCACCAAGGATCTGATTCAGCTCATCTTCAGTAATGACATGTTCAAGGAGGCCATGGAGTGCATGAACCTGGGTGGGTGTGGTTCACACAAACAGGTTCATGAATTCTGTAAACATACCACATGTATGAGTTCACCTGTTGGGTGACTACATGTAAGTACACACATACTAGTATTCAGTAGCAGAATTATTATTATTATTATTGTTATTTTTCTATATATTTATCTTGAATATCCAGTACATCCAATAATACAGAGGATTCTGTTCTCATCATTCGTTCCCGTTCTCAACTTTTATCTCGGTTGCGCTGCTTTCAGTCAGGTATATACTCTAATTGTATTTATTTATTTATTTATTTTATCCAATCATATTTCAGCGTTGTGTGTTGTCACTCTCTCTTGTCAGTCATTCACTCTTTGTGGGGCCGAGGCGGGGCCGATAGAATACACACACAGAGTGCAGCACCACGGTCGTGCCTGTATGCCGACTTTGTTCAAAAGTGTTAGCAAGTTAGCGACACAAAAACTCACCTTATTTGGTGAATAACAGGCCGAGTGAACAGAGGCTGTACTTGCATATGATCCGTGCTAACTTATCATCACATTAGTGGTTAAGTCTCCAAATAGTGTTGACAGGATCATCGTTTGTCGACAATAATCGTCCAGTAAAATCTGTTATCGTCCCAGGTCTGACAGTGAATGATTGATTTGTTTAAAGTCTAAAGTCTTTAGTCCCGTTCAGGACTTTATTGTTGGCGCTCGGTGATTAATCATCAGCGTTCATTGATTAATCACTCTGTGTTAACATTTCTTTGTTGTGTGGCTTTTATACAGACATCAAGAAAATGCCTCTGGGGAAACTCAGTAAGCTGCAAATCGCAAAAGGCTTTGAGGTTTTAGAGGAGCTGGAGGCCGCCATGGACAAAAGGAGCGCTCGAACACGCCTGGAAGAACTTTCCTCCAAGTTCTTCACAACGATCCCTCACAACTTTGGGCGGAACAGGCCACCGACCATCAACAGCAAAGAAATTGTGGAGCAGAAAAAAGAGATGTTGATGGTAAGGTGGACATTTGTCGTTGTTGATTGGGATTAATCTACAGTAGATTAACATTCCTTGTGAAAATATAATCTATATATTGCTATAACAGAATGACAAACAGAAGTTGACGCTTTTCA